GTGGTCCCTTGAGAGTACGGAAGAAAATGGAAATCCACGATGTGATTCAAGTAGTTCATTCATGCTTTGGGTATGTTGTCTCACTTCTGATCTGTAGCCTAAGTATCATTTTATAAGAGAAGAAAAAAGACTGAGAGGGGATAAGCAACTTCCCAGGATTACCGTGCAGTGACACACTAAGCAGGGACTGGAAACAGGGCCATGCTTTCTTATTACATCACCGGATGCCCAGAAACCTCCTATAGAGTGCCTGCAACGTCTGCTCTGCAATGGGACTCACACTTTTGCCGCAGCTCATACTTCACAACTATGTTCTTCCTGTTCCTTCGGGAGCATTCGGGAATGATAGTGGCCAATAATAACTTCTAGGTACGGGTGCCTGCTGCAGCCCAGGTAGTGGGAGACTCCTGGAAACCCAAACTGTGAAGGCAGGAATTCAGGTGCAGTAGTTAAATGCGGGAGATATTTGTGGTAGACGTTTTTCAGTTTGTTTGGGTGAGTTAGAGTATAGGCAGGATTCTTTTCTTTTTTTTTTTAGTCTTCTTAAAAATGTATTTAACATACTTCCTCCCTGCCTGACTAAGGCAAAGTTTAGGGTTACAAACACACCCATCCTGGCCTCACATCTCCCTCTGCTGAGGTTGCAAGGTATACATTACCCATTCTTTTTTCTTTTCTTTTCACATTTAACAAATTTTGAAACATCATTAGCACAGGAAAGTACAGGGCTGACTATCAGGAACATGCTGTGCTTACCACCAGCTATTGTCAAACTTTAATAATTTGTCATCTTTGCTTCTCATGTTTCTTTTATTTACCTTCTTTTTAAAAAATTATTTTTTGTTGATAGTATTACAGATGTGCCCCATTTCCTCCCCCCCGTACCCGGCTTTGTCCCCCTTCCCTCAGCCCCTGCCCCACCCCAGGCCTACAGGGAACTATTGTCTGTGTCTATGGGATATTGTCTGTGTATGCATATGGAATATGCATACATGTATATAAATTCTTTGGTTAATCTCTTCCTGCCCCATCCAACCCCCTTCCCTCTGAGATCAGTCAGTCTGTTCCATGTATCCATGTCTCTGGACCTATTTTGTTCCTCAGTCTATTTTGTTGATTAGATTCCACATATAAGTGAGATTATGTGATATTTGTCTTTTTCTGACTGGCTTATTTCACTTAACATATTTCTGCTTCTCATTTTTTTAAAGAAATAAAACATTTCAGATGTATTTGAAGCACCCAATGTGCCATTCCCAATCCTATCTCCTACCTCCTCACTCAGAAATGTTTTTTTCTGAAATTATTATTCTGAAATTGTTTTCATTTCTATTGCATCTTTTTTATATTTGTACTATATATATGTTTATAAACAATATATGATAACAGTGTGCATCTTCACATTTTATATAAATAGTATCATATAGCTTTCTGCAATTTGTTTTCTTTTTTTCCCCTTCAAAGTTATGTTTCTGAGAGATATCAAAGCGCATGTGGGTAGCCATGGTTCATTTATTCATTTTTTAAATTTCTGAATTGTACTCCATTGTATGACTATATCCCAGTTTATTTATTCTCCAGCTGATGGACATTTTGTTTGTTTCCAATATTTTGCTATTGCAAACCATTCTGCAATGAACATTTCTGGTCATGTGTTCCTGTGCACATGTGTGAGTTTCTCTAGTTGTCCAGTTTTGCTAGCCTTATTTTACCTCTGCTGAACTGAGTGACACTAAGCAGATAAATATGTGAGACTCCACAAAATAGTTTTCAGATGCCTTCAATTTGTAGATGACCTGTAGAAAAAGGATTCTCTCTTTTTATAACTAGAATAATATTTTGAGCTATTTTGTAGGAACTCTAGAGTGTCAGGCATTAATTTATTGAAAGTGTTATTTATTTAAAGTGTTAAGTATTTATTTGCTATAACATTTAATTTTAATATCCAAAGGGCACAAGATGCCAACTAAATATTACAATATTTGAATATTCAATGTGGAAAAATTAGAATGTGTGGTCATTGAGAGTTGTAAGTCTATGAATTATAACAAGGATCTTGAAATGCAGGTGGTATAGAAGGAAGGAAGGAAGGAAGGAAGGAAGGAAGGAAGGAAGGAAGGAAGGAAGAAAAGAAGGAAGGAAGGAAGGGAAGAAGGAAGGGAGGGAGGAAGGGAGGGAGGGAGGAAGGGAAAGAGGGAGGAAAAGAAGGAACAAAAAAGAGAGAGAAGAAAAGGAGGTGTATTAGGTTGGGATGAGTTGCAGTAACAAATAGATGTTGTCATGCAATGCTTCATCAGAATACAGCTTTATTTCTCTGTCATATAACACTCAAAGATGGTTCCAGGTCAGCGAGGGTTGCAGCTTTGCTTTCTGTCGTCACTTTTCAGGGTCCCAGGTTGGCTGCTGCTTTTTTGTCTTTAAAATGTGGCCCCCAGCGTTGATCAGAGGTTGTTAGATCAGTCAGGCAGATGGAAGAAACAAAGAAGAGTTCTAATGGGAGCCAGGAGCCCGGGTTGAAATCATCAAATACCACTTTGGCTTGCATTCCATTGGCCAGACATGAGTCACAAGACCACATCTAACTATAAGAGATGCTGGGCAATGAAGTGTACCTGTGCCCCCAGAAAGATGAGTAAACTGTCCGAATTCTAGTTCTCTCTTCCACAGAAAAGAGGAAAGAAGTTGGTTTGGTTTTAATTGAAAATATTGCAGCCAACATTTGTAAGAAGAAATAGTTAATACCAGTTGAGGTGGAAACCAATTTACAGTTAAAGTGCTTTCTCTCTTCCTCCTTGCTCTGTGCTATTTTTGTCTGCCTACATTTCCTTTCCTTCGTCTTCTGGGCAGAAAAGGTCCCACTACTCAATCCACATAGTTTTGGTGAGAATGCGTCTGGCAAAAGAGAATAGAGCTTTATCTTAGACTGGGCCCCATAGAAATTATAATTGGTGGTAATGGCTGACATGCCAGTAGTTTATTTGGATAATGATCCCATGGAACAGGAATGAGCAGCCAGGGGAATAATAAGGTAAAAAGGGAAAACCAACACAGGGAGGTGTTGTCAAGGTGGACAACACTGCTATGGGGACTGTAGTTGTGTGCCTATAGATGGACGTGGGGAGCATTTATCCATTGGTTCATTGAGGTTTTGTTTGCAAAGTTGATGGAAATAGCCTGGGGACTGAGGGCTACAGTAGCGCTACAGTAGTGACTAGAACTAGAGGTGGCGACAAGAGGAGCTGCACTGATGCACCGTGGTGCCTGATGCAGGCAGGTAGCCCTGCTCCCGATGCTCAGTGCACCTCCACCCCCAGGGCACAGTGCTTGGGTCATGGGTGTGTACTAACCAAGCCAGGATGCTAGAGTTCTCTCCCAGCATTTCTATAACAGGAGCTTGTTCCTCAGATCTTTCTTCCAAAGCTGAATGGATGTCAGTCTGCATCTGCATCTGCACTTCCCCTACTACTACATGGAGAAAACCTGCCTGCAGACGTGAGAGACAGACAGAGAGTTCTGTGGTGTCAAATCTCATCTCCAGCCCTTGAGGTTCTAGAGCTTCCATGATTCCTATAGCTCCTCCTTTCATTCTATGACCTACTCCCATCCATCTAATAAATCCCCTAATTAAACCATCTCAACCTAATTTGAATTGGGTTTCTGCCAGTTGCAATGGAAACGTCCCTGGCAGTATAGAAACTGATGGGTAAAAGTGGAGTGTTATTTATCAATGGCCTTCTATCTCTGTCCTTGGTTCCAGGCCCAACTTTCATATCTTCACTTATTCGATATTTATATTTCAGGTTTCAAATTCAATGATACATCTAAACCTGAAATTGTCATCTCCTGTTTTTGTTGATTTTTGTCAGTGCGTCATTCTCCTACTCCCCAGGTTCGAAACCAGTGTTGCCTTGGACTCTATTCTCTTTTTCTTGCCATGAAGTCTTATTGATTCTTTCTTTGCAAGATGTTTCCAGTTCATCTTTTTGTTGTTTTGTTGTTTTTGTGTGTGTGTCCCCTCTATGTTCTTCTGCTTCTAGTTCCTGTTCTGATCTAATTTGTCTTCATTTTTTACCACAATAATTCTGCTAAAAAAATTTTTTTGCCTGACTTTTTTCTGCTTAATAATTTTCAATGGGTCTCTATAACCTGAGGAAAAGTTCAACCTCCTTTGACACACAGTACCCTGCAAGATGAAGGCTCTGCCTCAGTTTCCAGTGTTTTCTTTCACTCTGCTTCAAAATTAGCTCTTCATCCCATTAGCCATGGTCCCCGAACACAAATTCCCCATTCCTGTATCTCTGCCTTCATCCCACTTCACCTTCCCACTTGAAAGGCCACCCCCTCCTCTTCTCCTGCCCAGATCCTGGCTGATGAAACTCAGGTCCCTGTGCTGCTCCAGCCCATAGTGCTTTCTTTCTCCCTCTTCTTCCCTCCTGTCTGTGTTATGTGTTTAATATATTTATTGTCTTGAACTGTGGCATACATTTTGTTCTTGCCAGAGTTGCCCTTTATTCAGACTTTAATTTGTATGAAAACAGAACCGATGTCTCCTAATTTGGGTTTTCTATTCCTCCACTTCCACACACCCAACACTAGGCATAATAGGTGCTTAAGAAATTTTACTTTGTTATTTCTTTACTCTAAAATAAAAGGCTATGCTTTGTCTGAAGTCTGTTTTGTCATGTGATATCGGTATTGTGGATGATAAAGATGTGGGTGGAAAAATAGCTAAACACTCCTAAGTTTCTCTCTATACTTCCCTGCTGTACTAATAAATGTGCCCTGTTCTTCCCACCATTGTCTTTGCTTTTTAGGAACAATAGGCTATTTTCCTTTTTAGGAAATAATATCACACTCTGATAAAAAAGTTCTCTTGTTTATAAATCTCTCTTCCATTCACTCTTCTCCAAATGTAATTTTAGACAGGCAGATCTGTTTTTGAAGTTCAAAGAGAAAAGAATCAGCAGACTCAACGGCACATAACAAAAGACGATGTGTGGTATCCTTGTTTCTTTTTATTGGAAAGGAATCATTTCTATTCTAGCGCAAACAATGTATATTTTACATCATAAAGCAAGATATAATTTACATATTACATTTCTTACGAGATCTTTATACCCTAAATGTCATTCCCTTTTTTATTCGGTCACCTCTTCTGGTTCCATTTAACGTGCCACATACCCCATAAATCAGCACCTTGTTTCCAAGGGATTGGGGACACAGACAGAGAGTTTGTAAGTATTCATCTGTATCTGAGTATAATGATGGTGAGGAGCAGGGGTATGCCTTTGAACTCTGGCTCTGAGGCCCTCTCTTGACGCCTGGCTCAGGAGCCAGAAGGCTACTCCTCCAAATCACATATGAACTCCTACTTATGTCAAGTCAGTAATAAATGAACAACACCGAGTGCTTATACCATGGGTATACTTCTTGATCAAGTGCTTAGATAATAGATGCTTGTGGTATGCATTCACCAACAATGCCAGTTCCTATGGCTGACCAGTACTGGTTCTTCCATGATATTCCCAGACATCTCTTGCTCAGGGAATATTGCAATATTGGGTAATACTGCTCAGTTTCACCTCACATTAGGGTTATGGGTTCAGACTTGTCTGTTCACCACTGAAAATGGATGTCAAGATAGAAGCTTCAAATGACTTTACATGACCCTCTGTCTCTTAGCTGCCTCTTCTAAGATTTCGTCCCTCTTAGCAAATTTTTTTTTTAATGTATGATTTCTGTTCCCTGCACTGTAATCCAAATCCTCTTTCAGCCATTCTTCCCAAACCTCCAACTCCAAAAGTTTACCAATTTCTTGGGTTGCACTGATTTCACAAAGAATGTTTTAATCTGTTAGAATGCACTGTTCCTTTGAACCTCAATAATCCACAGCAGCTAATGGGACAAAAGAATCCAGGGACTCTTTGGGAAGCAAGTAATATGTGTTGTTAGCCAGCTTATGTGAACCATTTGGTAAGAAATGTTTGAATAGTAGGTGAAAAGAAACACACACAGGAAATTGGTTGATGAGAGCAAAATGCATCAGATGGGCTTCCTTCTTGTTATAGAGAAAAGTGCAGAATCAACATTCAAAATACATTTTCAGATTGGGGGGTATTTGACTGAAAAAAATAACACCATGAGCTCAATCTGGTAGGCCAAAGCAAGAAACAAATATGTTCTCAAAGTGCATCTTAAACCCCAATTCCTTGCCTGTCACTGAAAGTTGACATATTTGGCCAAAATCTATCTGAAACTTTTAAATCACTGATAATTAAAGTTATTACAACCAAGCTGGCCAGGATGAAAATGTAAATTGAAAATGTGTTTGTTCTGTGTATCTTAGATTACTTTGGTCAAATGATGTGAATTCTGAGAGGTCTATAAATATAAACCTATTTCTCATTTCCAAATGCAAAATTATAAGCATTAAAAGCAAGGTAGCATTTCCTTGCTAGAAAACAAGGTACTGTATCCTTCCATTAGCCTTGAAAACTTTTATAGTCCCCTTCCTTTCATGGCTACAAAGTGCTGGAAATACAGAGAATATGGGAAAGAATGAAGGAGCAAATGAATAGGGCCTCACAACACCCCTGTGAGGTAGGTAAGTATTGTTAAACCCATTTTACAAAAAGGTAAACTGAGGTACCACTTGGTAATGGGGTTTGGTCAAGTCCACCTGACAAGTCACAAAAGCACAGCTGGAAACAAAGAGAAAGAAACAAAGAAAGGTCAGTCCTGGCTCCCAGCCCTAGCCACTAACCTTTATTTCAAAATATTAGAAAATAAAATAATTGCCTTTTTTGAAGTTTAGACAAACCTTTAAGTATTCCAATAAACATGTGTCTTTCAGATTCCTGTTGAGTAGAAAAAGGGCAGATGGCCAAATGGCTTTTCCTCCGCTCTCTAAGTGTAATTCCCATGATAGATCAGGACAGACCAGCATTCCACCAGAGCTCAGCCTCTAACCTCAAGGACATTCTTAAAGCTTCACATAGTTTCTCATTTATTTAAAGCCCTCCTGTGAAAACAAGACCTGTTCTCCAACAGCTGCTCTGTAAGTTGCTCTGTGGACCTTAATGAGAATTTTGTGGAGAGCAAGAAAGGAAACAAAATCCCCAATAAAAAGTCTCATCACTGTAGAGAGAAGGACAGTGGTGATGGTGTGAAATTTGCTTTCTGTTGTGTTTGAGAAACTGCAAACTTGAGCTTGCAAGAATATTTTATATATATATATAAAATATATAAATATATACAGTATATATATAAGTGTGCATCTGATGACCCTTAAGGCACCAATGAGATATAGGCTATGCCTTTCACAACTCGGTCTTTGTTTTCCAAGAGAAATTTCTCTCCCTCATTCAAATGAAAAATAGTTCGTCTACCAAATAGTCCATGACAGCAAATCCTTCAAAAACAACAAACATCTTTAACTTAAGATGGCTGATTATTAAGATAGGGATGATGGTGATATCATCTATAGCTTAGAGCTTAAATCTAGAGCTTAGGTCTAGAGCTTATTGCTTAGAATGAGCCAGGCACAGCCAATCAAACTGGAACAGACAGGCCAGTGACCAGATGTTGCACATGACTGTTTCTCTCCCCCACCCCCCACTCCCCAGTAGCTGATGGAAAAACCTTTCCATGACCAACAGAGATGGAGACAGGGAGAAAGAAAATCATGTCTGGCACAGATTCTTTAGAAAGACTGGCTTTTCAGAAGTTCCTAGAGCTTCTGTGCAGAGAACTGGGAAGAAGGACGGGACAAGGCACTGAGGTTTCAACTCATCGATGAGGAGACTATAGGCAATTATTCTGATATTTATATATATATGGCTTCTTTGGCTATCATAGACTTTTTAAAACCCATATAATCATAGGGAGGGGTGGGGGGCTGAACCCAACTGAAGAAGCTCGGAGTATATGAAGCAAAGCATGGAAAGAAGGGAAAACAAAACGAACACACCCAGAAACAAGTGTTGCTGGTGTCCCAGAGGGAGGAGGAGTGTTTGGTAACTAATTTTCATTTGGCTCCTCTCCTGTGCTTCTCTGCCATGGTCCCAATAGTTTAGTTCTGTTTTTTTTTTGGTTTGTTTATTTTTATTATTTTTTTCCAGCAGATGAAGAAATGACAGAACAGGATAGGTGTCTTATGGTTTTTTTTTTGGATTTCTTCTTAGGCCTGTTTAATTATTTTTTTCCTCAGTTGACTGTTGGCACCTGGTTCCTCTGTAAACTATATTCCTTGGCCTTCAGTCTCAGGTTGGCAATGCTGTTGGCCATGTTGATGCCCTGTGCAGGGCTATTGTTGGCACATGTGGCAGAATAAGTAGCCATGGCACTGTAGGGACAAAGGAGAGAGCAGGGAGAATAACAGGCATTAGTTTCACAAAGCTGTAAGTCTGTGCCCCAGATGGGTGTGACTCTCAGAACGGGGGCCGGCAGGGGCAGGAGGGTCGGACGAGATGACCTCTGAGGTCCCTTACAGCCCCAGATTTCCATTAGTCTAAGGCACTTGGCGAAGGGTGGCAGTGTTTGAAAGGGCAGGGCAGAGCAGTGGAGAGTGGACCAAGGGATGGGGGAGAGAGGCATTCGCTGTGTTGGACTCAGTGAGTCATGATTTATTTCTGGGGTGAGAGAAGAAAGCTGCTTGTGCTGAATAACAGGTGTGTGATCAGCTATCCAATTGAAACCTGTTCAAAGCCCTCTTCCTGCCTACATCCCTGGCATATGGGAGCAACGAGAAAGAAAAGGAGGCATTTGAAAAGAAAATTTTTGCCTTCCTCACTCTAGGACGCCGACGTTCACTCTAACACATTTTAGATGATCAATAGATACCATACTAAATACTATTCTTGGAGAATCAGTTAAACAACCCAAGGTAACTTTTGTGCCGTTCCCTGCACAAAAGCATTGCCCAATCAAGAGGGACCCATCGCGTTTGGCCTTGATTTGATAACTTTTCAAAAGGACTTGAATAGCTCCAGACACTGCTTTTGGGTCAGTCATTTTGGAGATGTTTAAATCCCCTAGATGAGCTAGCAAAGGCTTCAGTTTTAAGATTCCCGACCTGTTTCTCACTGTTCGTATTCCTGAGAAAAACCTGAAGTTTTGTTTTTTGTTGTCAGAGATTGTAACTAAGACCTAGGAATACCACTGGGAAGAAATTTGTAATTGGTGGTTTTGTTACTCGTACCCATGAATTTCTTTTAAAGGAACGAGGTAATGGTTTCTTTGACTTGGATGCAAATTATCCATTACTTTATATAAACAGTTAAAAGGGTACTCGTTTTAATTAAATGAAAATGTTTCTAGTTGTTTCTAAGATTAACAAAATCCCTTTCTACTGAGATAGACTTACAAATAGAAAGATGTGTGCTCTTCCATTGCCTGCATTCCAGTGCAATTTTGTCAGCCACACAGGAGTTTGTGGTTCTGGGGATCAAGTGACAGACCAGAAAGAGAGAAAACTAAAGCTACTTGCACAGATTGAGCGACTGTTATCATTAATACTTATTTGGGACACCGCATTGTCAAGGCTTATAGTCAAGATCCACAATAGCCTATTTCAGCTCAGATACTAGCAATTAACCCAGGAAGACTAGGTTGAAGAAATATAATTAGTCCCCGGTCACTAGGTCTTTCCAAAAATACACATCCTTAATGTAAAATCCTTATAGCACTGGTGTGTGTGAGTGTGTGTGTGTGTGTGTGTGTGTGTGTGTGTGTGTGTGATGGCAGAAGGAAGAAGATTTAGAAGGGTTATAAAAGATCCTTATGTTCTTGTATTTCATATTAGCCTGCTTTGCTCTTACTCATTTCTGGATTGATGATTTTAACCATCTTTACAAAATTAGGTTCTCCTATAGCTCCCTGGACTTTTCCTCTAAGCACTTATTTTAATTCCTCAACTGTAAGTTGCACAGATGAGACACCATATCTGCCTTGTTCACCTCTGTCTCCCCAGGTAGAGTTAACATCCTATCTACCACACATTTGGCATTCAAGAACGTATTTAATGAATAGATAAGTAAGACTAAACTGATTCCAGCTCAATGTCACTTTTCTCTGTCATCTTGCTGTGAGTAATGATTCTAAAAATATTTCACCAATATGCTTTTATTCTTAGGAACTTATTTCTCCCTGTTAATTTTGCTATCTTAATAGAATGTACAAAATCAGAAAGGACATGACAAAACAGGAGCTGGTGATTGCATATCCTTAAATCCATAACAATATCTTTTAAGAGAAAAAACATGAACGAATATTAATACAGGTTAGACTACTAGAATAGACTCTCACTTCTACCACTGTCTACCAAAGGCAGAGGCAGAAAAAGAGTCCCAGTTAAAGGTTTCAATTCAGGAGTGAGATAAGTGACCAGAACAACCCATTAAAATTGAACAAGTTTTTTTTGTCTTTCCAGTATACCAAGAAATTTCAATTATTTTCCAACCCCACATACATATAATCATTTAATTTCTATATGAATTGCCTGCTTCCACTCAAGAACCTTCCAGAAATACATGTGCATCTATTAATCCTCTATTCAAGGGTGTTCAAGGATACACTGAAATCTAAGATTTCAAAGAAATCAAAGATCTGCTAGTAAATTGGTAAGAAAAGAAACACTTGGATTGGGGACATGTACCTGAGTCATAGACCACAAAATCAATCAAACAGGCTTTCTCAACCAGGTTTTTGCAAGAGAAGGAAGCCCTGGAGATGGTACATAGAACCATTTTAAATGCATAGGAGAGGCACTGGAATTGTGAGTTATCTGTGATATCCGTTAAGTACTGAGAATGGATTTGGATGGCTTCCTAAAACAGAAGACTAAAACTTCTTGAGAGAACACCTATAAAACTGAAATTGCTATAGTTGTGATTCCAATGTTATCTATTATAGAACCATGCTTGCTGTATTTTCTGCAGCGTTTACTAGTGTCATCTGATAGTCTAGTCTGAAGACTGACTGTGGTAACAGATGTCTTGGAAATACTGAGATTCTCTCACTAATGCAGGCCAGATATTCGTATCCCAAAGGAGGTGAATATTGATCCACTTTCCATCTCAATACCAAGTTAGTGTAAATTAGGGTTCTGTCTTGCACAGGAGACGGGCTTTTCACTGAGATATTTCCCCTTAAATGGCAACCTGTGATTAGAGTTGAAAATAGCTTCCTGTCCGACTCTACTGTGGGCTGTTACAAGGACATCGCTGTACCAGTGAGGCCTCAAGCTAGTGGTTGATATTCATGAGTAAGTTTTGAACTTTCCTAGGAACAAAGCAAGTAATAGCATTTGCACTTGGTAAGTGTTCAGGAAAGTTAGAAACTTTCAAAAATTGATCTAAAATATGCCAGCATTACATAGCCATAAGAGGTAAACTAAGAGTGAGTCTTAATTCAGAGCCTCTTAACAAATGTTTAGACCATCTAACTGTACAAATAGAGACTACAGTGAGGGTTTTGTGCACATACGGAAGGATTGTGAATCTGTGTTCCCTGAGTACTTGGACATGGGTTTAGATTCTCAACTTGAATTAAAAGTGCCATGTAGACAAGTAGGGAGCAGTCCTTTTACGTGCCAGTGAGGCCTCAAGACTTGTTACAAGTCAGAAAAGACAGAATTAGTGAGTGGGTACTCCAAGAGCAGTTTCGTCATGCTTTTAAAGCGGCATTAGAAGATGGAGAGGACCCACTTGCAAAAATGACAACAGGTGCAAGAGAGCCTTGAGTGGCTGCCAGTCAGAATGTTCATGACCACCTGTTTTCCATGTCATCAAAACTTATAATGCTCTGTGTTAGGCAAAGAAAGAGAACCCTGGAATGTTTTCTCACAAGACAGACACCAAAGGCAATGAGCTGTTTTCAACTAAACTTACAGGACCATTGGAACCATGTAAAGCGCCCACTCCTTCCTATACAGGAGTAAGCTTCCTGGGACAAAAAGATGAGATGGAAACGAAGTGACTTATAGAGAGTAAGCACATGGACCACACCAAGAGCCTGCTGACCAACACCCAGAGATCCTGCCCCTTGGTCTCGCTTTATGAGTAAGAAACATGTACTTTTTCTAACATGATAATGCCGACATGACCCTGGGACTGGGGGTTCATGGAGGTTGGCTCAAGCAACATTTTATTTCATTTCAATGAATGTCAAGTTTGTTATGTCCACGACCAAGAAACTAGGTTGATGAATAAAGTGCCCTGAAGAATTAGAGATGAAAAGGAAATTCCCATATCCCATCTGTCAACTCAGCAAGTCTACCCTGAGGCTCGCACAGAGTGGACACATGGACGTGAGCTTGAACATTTTCCATCTCCTTATTTGGAGATGCCTAACAGATGGTGCTCAGCCATACAATGCAGCGTGCTAACCACCAGCAGGGACGGAGTTCTGTTTTCACTGGAGACAAATAATTTTTGATGACTTCAACCTACCCTGAGAGGTTATTGTGAGGAAAAATGTGTTACAATGGCTGCCAAATACCAAGAAGTCCGGGAGATACTATACATAATATGATTTTAAAGCCAGGAAACTGGCAGGCATCTGCCTCTCTACTTCCTCAGCAGCCAGAGTATAAGTCCCATAAGTCACAAAACCATTGAGGACAGTAGGGTGGGGGTGGGGAGGGACAATAATAACTGATTTAGTTTTCAACTCTAACTTTGTTTTTCTGTGTGGCCCTTTTGGACAAATGATGACAAGCTGTTGAGAATTCCATCCCAAAGACAGATCCGTTAGCCCAAGACATCTATGTGCTTTCTGAGATCCTAGGGTTTCCCAGCTCAGGAGTTTTCCAAAGGCTGTGGAGCTGGAGGTTTGCCCCGACTCTGTCTGTAATGTGTAGAGGTTGGAGACTGTCTCTTAGGTTTGTTCATTTGTCAGTGTAAGAACACGGAGGTATACTTGCTTCATCTAAGAAAACTTAATATGAGTTTTTCTAGGGAAGTTTATCTTAGAGAGGGAAACTAAAGTTCCCTTTTGGAAGTGATCTTTTGTGATTTAAATAACCATTTCTAATTTCTGTTTTTAAAATCCAGAAGTTAATTTTTGAAATTCAGCTTTTTAAGTGAATACACTTGGAACCTATTTCATTGATAAGCCTTCAGTTTGCACTGTGTGCTCAGGGATCCTTCTGCCATTTTTAACTCTTTTTTTCTACAGATGTGTTACATTGGAAGCCTTGCATCCCTCCTTTGTCTCAACAATTTTTGTACTTCCTTTTTGAAATGCACATTGCTTATCTACAGATTCCAAACGCCCCGGAGAAGTAGGTAATAGGAAAACTGTAACTAGCTCATCTTAGATGCAAGGTTACACGAGAGATAGATGATCCAACAGGAGCCAGGACAAGAACATAGTTCTTCCGACCTCTGCCCCACACCCTACGGTCATTTAAAGCCTCACTATTCCAATTATGTCCCAAGTGTCAACAGTGTGGCATGACATGAACGCCTGTTAGCACTGCAGAAGCTGAGTCTGCATTGTAACACTGTGCCTGGCAATCCACATACCCAGTCATTTTTGAGGAGCCCTGCTCTAGGCTACAGACTTTACAGACCCATTTTCTTGCAGCTCCGGTTGGTTTCCAATGGTATCCCCCACTTAAGGACCTCTCTGCTTTCATTTCTAGGACCACAAGTCCCGCTTCCTTAAACTCTTATTTCCCACTTAAACCCTACCCCCAGCAGCCACCCTCTTCCCCCTGACAAGTTACCTTTTCAGTGTCTTCCGTTAGAATCCGTTATGAAGTCCCTCGTGTAAACAACATCTTGGGAGGGACGAGGATCTATTTTTGAAAGTGTGAAAGGGAGACATGAGCCAAATGCGTTCAGCAGATGTCAGGCAGCACCGTGACCACGACCAAAGGAGGGGAGGAGGAGGAGGAGAAGGTTAGAGGAGAGAAACTGTGGACAAGGATAGCTGGCCTCCCTTTTACTTGTCATAGGTTCTCTTGGAAGCCCAGCCCTCCCTCTGGAAATGGCCCTCCAGACCGATACTGCAGAGCCTGACCACTCTCTAGCTCTTATAGAAAAGGGCATCTCTGGGGAAAGACTTCTCTACTATTCTATCTAAAACAGCAGCCCAAAGTCCAGGACTTGGTTAATTAATGCTACCCAGAGGCAAAGCACTACAAGATAGGGAGTCTTAATAGCTCTGGTGCTGGTATGATTTTCACAAAGGAAAACAGTTCTGAGCTAAGCAGTGGGCGTGTGTGCCAAAAACAAGCTCTCTTCCTCGGGCTGTGGGTAGGTAAAGAAGACACCTACTGGGCTAGTAGTGTCCCTGTGAGGGAATGCTTTGCTCCTTCTGGTAACTCGATTGCCTGCCTGACATCACCACCTCTAGCACGCTCACGGGAATGAATGAGGTCATGACGTGCTAAAAATATAGTGTGAACCATATGTCCCAGTTTGCCAGGGACAATCCCAGTTGAATGCCTGTTGTTCTGGTGTTATTATTAATAGCTCACCCCTTTCACTCTCAGAAGTGTCCCAGTTTGGACGATAAATTATACAGCTACTACTCTAGATATGGAAGACACCCAGAAATAAAATGTGTTGGCTATTTCCTATCCCATAATCCTGAACATATGCACACAGTTGCTTTGAGTCTTATTATTTTCCTGTCTTCTCTGTGGGAGTCAGCACACTGTCCTGTCCTGTCTGACAAAACTGCCCCCTCGCTGTCCCTGGGTTACATGGCCAAGCCCCATCAGTCATCCCAAGGGGATGTCCACACACCTCGGTGTCTTGTTAGACCCTGAACCAAAGAGCATGTTTACGTAGTTTCCCAGTCTTCCACTGTTGCTATTTTCAATATAATGTCCGGTTTAATTTAAATGAAAATATGGCCACGTGTCCTACAATTTTGGACAGAAACGGGGATCATGCACACTGGGTCTAATTCTGCTTGCTGAAAGCTTAAGCTTGGGCTGAATGTTTAGTTTCTGCTTTGGAACCAGAGCAAGGACAGAACTGCCACACTAGAGCATTCCAAGGGTTGACCAAGAGAAATGCCTTTTAATCAACATCACATGGGAGATAACTAACTTGACATAATAGTACCAACAGAAAGAGCGAGTTAATTTTCCATAACACAAAAGGTCTATCATTTGCTTTGCTTTTCATCACTTGTTTTTTTTTATCATCCCTTAACAAAACTTCTATTTCAAAATGCAAAATCATAAAGTATTTTGTGTCTACTAAACATAGCAGAAAGATCTCCAAGAAACAGAATAGCTTTTTACCACTTTTAGAAATTAATCAAAAATAGAAACACTTCAGTCAATAGTGGGTCAAACAACATTATTATTGATTAAATTACTGCTTTAAAACATTGTTTTTTCTACTTATAGCTGGAGATTAACTTATTCTTCATACAGAATATGAACAATCAGAGTCTATAAATTTTTAATGAATTATATTTTACAAACTCTGTAGCTAAGAGAGAAATGATATAAAAGTATACCATGAAATGAGTAAAAAGTACTAGGTTATATAATTTTAAGTGAAAAAAGCAGAATACAAAATACTATGTACACTAAGTCTACACTATATAAAATACTGAACTCTAATTGCAAAAGTAAACAAAACTAGTTATGTCAAGATGGTGGATTTATGAGTATTTTTTAATGTTTCTAATATTTCTACATAATCTTTCAAATTAAAATAGAACATTTCCCAAAAAGGCACACATAAATTGTGTGTTAATAATTTCAGTTAGATGCCCATATATATAATATATATGATGCTGGCCCCAGGGTTTGAACTTCTGCTGAGGTCCGGTAACCTAACCCAGTATAAATTCAGGAAGGCTTTCATCCCCATTCCTGTAGGGGACTGCCCTCCGTCTCTCACTGGTAAGGACCACATACAGCCATCTGGATTGCTTACAGTTGGTATGAAAAGTTCCTAGGAGGACCCAGGCAGAAAAGGGAGCAGGACTTCCTGGCTGTGACCAAATTCAAAACAGAAACCTTGAAACATCAAGCTTGGAACCACATCCATTTCCCAAGACATTTAATGAGCCTATGAGCTATCAATATTTATCAGAGAAACACAGCAGTCTTCCGGGTATTTAAAAATATTAAAGACTAGGTGATTTCACAATGGTCTTCAAAATGGGTCTTTAGTAAATTCTATGGGAGAGGAGTCTGAATTTTAAATGGGACCCAAAGATATGACTAATCTTTTGAAATCAACAAGGCGTACCATGTCTGAGAGCAAGAAGAGTTTCCAGTTTCCTATGGGGTGTGTGTGTGTGTGTGGGGGGGTGTTCTCTGTACTAAGACCAAAGTAATTCAGGCTAATTTCAACAATTCGGGGGGGAGGGCGGTGTTCAAAAGAGATTTGCAAATGCATTTCTGGTGTTTCTTTCAAGAAACTGACTTGGAAGAGAAAGAACATTTAGGTGAGGCCTTTTGCTTTGATTAGAGTAATCAAAGTTTGAAACATATTTGGATTTCACAATGTGGCATTTTACATCAAGAGTTCAGCTTCCACTGGGGGATAATCTATAATTAATTTAAAACATCTCCTTAACCCATTAGTGAACTTTAACAATAAAAAGGTAACCAAAGCACAATAAATGAATTTGGAAATAGTTCTTTCTCCACTGCAATCAGCCAGAGATAATCTTGATCTGGTTTCTAAGAGTACCCAGGTTTAGGTTCAAAGAAAGGCACTTTTATGATGACGGTGTGTTAGGCACTTGTATTATATCTCAGCTTCCCTCTGGCATTAACCTATAATTCTGAACAGCATAACAAATGGAGGTTAAAGGCCTCTCCAAGACATTGAAATAGTACTCTGTTATTTGCTTCTTTAAAAATATTCACCTTTTTAATATAAAAGTTTAGTGTAAATTATACATTGCTTTTATACTTTAAAAACCCCACACAAACAAACTGACCCCCAAAGAACTTCAGATAGTAGATAAGATTTAGCAATTGAATAGGAAGGCATTTTGGACCATAAGGCATCCCCTACTAACAAAGAACTGTGACCATGAAACTGATCAAAATGATTTTGGATTTTCTTTCCTTCTCTCTCTGTGCCTCTCTCTTTCCTTCCTCCCTCCCTCCCTCCCTCCCTC